AAAAAAAAAAAAAAAAAAAAAACACACATCTTAGTAAAACCAATACCTTCTCAGCTTCGCATCGAAGCTAAAATACGACATTTTTTGAGAAAGGAAATATGAATAATATAATTTTTTATTTAATAAATTATATAGTTTAATCATTTTTCGCTGTCTATCCAAACTAAAAAAATGTACCTTTACAATGTATATATTTTTATTATATAGAAGATTCTATCATCTCATCTTTAGTTTACTCTGAATATGATTTAGAGAAATCAATAATACATATATATTTATAACTAACTATAAATATTTATTTTTAGTATTTAAATATAAATATTTTCTATGTAATAGTCCACCTATAGAGTTTACGGTAAAAGTTCAAGAAGAAAAATTGGTTGTTTATTTTCTAGGTGACTTACAGAATCAGGAACTTTTTACATTGAATAGAATAGACTTAACTTGTTAATAAATATTTACATTTCAATTTTAACATTTTTACTTACTTGTCCATCCAATATGGTTAGCTAAAACTAAAAATATTTTTACATCAGAAATCAAAAATAATTTTAAGTATTATAATTTTCAATATACAATTTAATAGTAAAGTAATAAAGTCACAGTCCCCATTTTCTTTCTCTTCGACATAGTATCACAAAAGACAAATAAACAACGAACATAAGCTAACCCGCTTGAGTGTCGCCGTGAACTACGTTTACACAAGCCCCAAAATATCCGATAACCTCGTTAATCGCTCGATAGATGTGTGAGCCAAACCTATACATTTATGATATACACGTTTAGTGATTAGTATAATCACTGAACTTATAATCTTAGTATTTGTATAAGCCGTAAGATACACTTTTTATTTATCAATATGGTATTCTACTCTTAAATATTCAAAAATTATTATTTTTTCTATTTTATTAACTAAACACCATTGGCTTGTTTTTTAGCAAATTTTAAAATGTTATTTTTTTAATAAGGCCATTGGATCTGTTAATAATTTAGATGATATCCATCACTAAATAATCGAGTTCATCCTTAAAGTAGAATTTTCAGCTATTCAGGAAGTGACAAATAGTTTTATCATCGTACAGAAATCTTCACATAAGATAAAAATATAAATGCATTTTTCAATTTCAAATTCAGCATGTATAGCCAAGAGTCATTTAAATATTTCAATAATAAAAGTTAATTTACGTTTTTCTTCAGACATTTTATCGGAAATACAAAATACAAATGCATTAGGATTGAGCAATATCAATACAATTATGTTGAAAGAACTGCTGGATAGTATAATTTTCTTTGACATTATGTTCTGTAAAAAAGTAATAAACAATTTTTACTTTTGTTATAGTTATAAATGCGGTTTAAGATCAATTTTATTAAATTCTTAACTAAAAACTCATCTATAAGAATTGTGTGTTTTGAGTTTTATTGAGTTAAACTAGAATTAACGAAGACACAGGATTAAGTGCGGATGGTTAAAGTGGAGGGTATCGTAAGGTGTGTTATACGATAAAAGAATTCTAATGAGGCTGAAAGGTAAATTTTATAAGACTATAGTGAGACCAGCTATGATGTATGGTTCAGAGTGTTGCGCGGTTGACAAGAAAGTAGAGCAGAGAATGAATGTAGCTAAGATGAGAATGCTTAGATGGATATATAGGGTGACTAGAGAAGATATGATAAGGAACGAATATATAAGGAGTATAGGTGCTGCGTAAATTATGGATAGGAGGAGATAAAATAAACTTAGATGGTTTGGTCATGTTATGAGTAGAGAAGAATTGGAAGCTGTAAGAACAGTTATTGAAATGAATGTTGAAGGAAGAAGAAGTAGAGGAAGACCAAAAAAGAGATGGAGGGATGTAATTGAATGCGATAAAAATAAATAAACTATAAATTAAATACAATTTATACAGCTCTACAAATCCTGTCTGAATTTTTTTTGGTGAGAGGTGAAGGGGATACTATTGTAAATTTTTTTGTTGGCCACTAGCCTTGATATCAAGTTGAGGTGGTATTAATTTTCTCATGATGTTTTTTTTTTTGTGTGTCTGTCACCACTTTTTTTAGGTCTTACTTGACCGATTTTATTCAATGATACGTCAAAATATTATACTACATTGAAGACATTATCTTCGAAAATTTGAAAAAATTACCTCATTTCTCGTAAATGGGTTACATTCCCCAAAATTACAATTTTTAAAATCGGTAAATTTCAACATTTTTAAAACTTTTATTCATTAATGTTGACATAATTTATTTTTAAAAATTAATGAATCTAAATTATTTATTTTTGAAACACGTTAAATAGTTTTTATTTATATGGTAATTTTTTTAGAAAATATAAGCATTTACTTTCCCACATGTTAATATTCAAAGTAGCAACTTAAGTATGAAAAGTTAACCTTGTCAACTCTAAAACAATTATTAAATTAAAGTATATGTTACATACCATAAGATAATTTGTCCCGATACCTTATCTTCTATGTGCAAGTGGCCGCTATAGTTAAGGTACAGTTAATTAAATTTACTTGATTCTCAATTATATTACACTCGAAAAAGAACTTTAAAAAAATACAATTTTGGTTTATAATAATAATATAAACTAGAGTTTTTAATTCTTAATATTTTTCATTTAAAAGTATTTTTATGCCTTTCAATTATTGTACAGTTAAAGTTTTTAATATCACATATCATATATAACAATAACACAAGCAGTTTTCTTTGATTAGATTAACTTACTGCCAATTAATTAAAAAAATGTATAATGTTAGAACTTAGCAATTTAGAGTTGTTTGTAAAAATTGTAGTTACCTTATATTAACTTGATTTTGATAAGTTGAAACGAATTAAAGAAGCATACAATTGTAAAGTTTTATACAAGCTATTGTAAATTTTAATGTAAGTACTGTTTTTACAAGTAATCATTATATTGAAACTAAAATTAATTTAAATTTTTTGTTAAATGTCGTTATTGAATAAATACAAGGTGAACACCTGTACAATTATGATTATAAGAAAACAATTATTTTTAAATATTGTTTTGTTTAAATAAGGTGAATGAACATAATATATTGATCTTATTAAATACATATGGCTTATATCTAAAATGTGATATAGTTTTTTGAAATTTTTATTATTTAGAGAGAAAATATTTTTTTTTTGTGCGTCAAAAAATTAACAAATCAAATTAATCGAGGAGATTTAATTCTGATGCTTTAAAAATGACAAATTTATTTATGACACCGTAAAATTTTTAAATTGAATTTTGTTCTTCAAAAAATTGTTGAAATGAACATTAAAGCATTTGATATATAGTTTCGGATATAATTTTAGGGAAAATGATTGTATTATTAAAAAATATAACATCTTATTACACAAATAATTTAGAAATAATAGAAAAAATCTAATAAATATAATCTTTTTACTTAATTAATATTTGATATTTTAAATACTTTAGTTGACAATAATTTTTTAAGGTATAGAATAAATACTAATTGTATTTAAGATAGAAAAAATTATAATAATAAAAAATAAAATTAATAGATTTTCAAGAGAATATTTCATTTTATTTTGATTGCTAAGAGAATATTATTCTGACTTAATTTTGTAGTTTTAAATTATTTCTGAGATTTCTAAATTTATTTAAAATGTAATGAAATGTAGGACTTAATTTACATGTTTTCTTTTAGTTTTTAATATATAGTATTATTATCGTTCGACCATTATCTTTTAATACTAATATTATTTTTTAAAAAGCAATTTGTAGAAATGGTGCAACAAGTTTTGAGGGTATACGAAAATCGATCCCGAGACAATATGGTACAAGTTCTAATGTTATAAGATCACCAAATTGCCCCTATATTATTTAAATTATTACCTATATAATACAAATAATAATACATATATAATAATATAATTATAATACCAATAATAAAACATTCGAATAAAATGGGGTTTTAAGGACTAAAAACAATTTTCCGTTCTAGTAGATAAGATCCTAAGGTATTATAAAATAAGTTACAATCGTAACTATGTACTTAATATAATAACTAATCATTGAGTTATAAAGTTGATTCAACTAGTGACAATGGCCATATATTTAATGCATCTTAACTTTTTAAGAACATTGATACCTAAATGCAATAAAAATTTATTAAATAACTATTGGACTACTATAGTAGCGAATAATAAATAAATTAACCATTAACCGATAAAGAAAATAATAATTTGAAAAACAATTATATAGAAGTAAAAAAATTATTGTTATAATCTAAAAAATAATTAGATTCAATTATTTATTCCACTGTTATACATCAAATATTACAAATTCATTCAAACAAAATATATTATAGATAAATAACTTATGTAGCCATTGGCCTTAGTCGACGAGAGGATGAACAATAAAAGTATTAGATTTGATAAAATATAAAATTTAAAATTTATTTTGTGCTGTAAATGAATATTGTTTAATTTGCCATTCTCCATTAATATCCATGGAATCAAAAGCACAAATTCCATAGGAACTACATCCTCCTTTTTGTTTTATAATTTTAGGATTATCAATGTAGTTTAGAAGTCCTGCTACAAAACATTTGTGCAAATAATAATCTTGACACAAGTCATCTGACGCTGAAAATTAAATTTTACTCAATAAGAAAGTTTGATAATAATTTATTTATTTGCGATCTGAACAAGGTAAATATTAAAATGGAGTTATATCAGCAAACATTAATAAGTACTTTTTTTTTATCGGAAACCCTGTTCAAAGACTTAAAAAAAAATCCCGATTTACTATAGTTTAAGATTGAGATAGAATAATTTCTTTATTTCTTTTACGTTGTTTATACTTAAGATATTAATATTTAATATTAATTACATTTTGTATTATTAAAATAATATGCTGCTACTCTTCTAAAAATATTCATTCGTTGTTTAACTGCATCATCGTATTTCATAAGATTGTCTAACAATTATAAAAATTAGTACACTAAATAAAAAATAAATAAATTATTTGTATATAAAGCTTTTTCAAATCCTAAATTCATATAATCTTATGTACAGAGTCGGATTTAATTATTTGTAGGCTCTAGACACTAAATTAAATATTTTTTCCTTAGATATTTTAAAAATCCTTTGAATTTAAATAACGAAGTATTTTTACTACTGTAAATAGTAATTTAACAAAAAGTACATACTGAATTTCTACACCCAAAGAAAAACCTCAATCAAAATTGAAAGAGAAATTTTATCAAGGGTTTATGATAATGTTTTATTAATACGAACAAAATAACTATTCTTATAAATAATTATTGTTCAAGACAAGAAAAAAAAATATCATATTGATAAATATATCATTGATTCAATAGTAATGATATATTTATCAAATTGAACAATGAATTTATTATATAGATCGAGATTTTTCTCTGGGTGTAGATACTACAGTGTCTAATGGTTAATAAGATACTGCTTATGTACTGTATTTTATTTAAATAGACTATACATAATATATTCTCTAATCATAACTTTATAAAAAAATATACCCATGGTATGTATTATGTATTTCACAAAAAAAGTTCACTTAAAAAAAAATCGTATGAAATTAAAATTTGTAAGATTATAAAGCATTTGCATAATAAAAATTTTATTGCAAAGTAATAGAATCATGATGGTTTTAGATACTACGAAAAATAACTTAATTTTTAAGCTATTTAACTTTTTCAATATTACCTTGAGGCTCGAGTGATTCCCTTCTAATTTCTGAAATTTAATTGAAAAAATTCTTTTTATTCCAAGCATTTTTATAATCTTATTTGTTAGTGATTTCAATTATTTTATTTTGCCATTCTGGATAAGAAAGGGGTAAGTAAATTAAAAACGCTAGATATCTTTTTTTTTCTTTCTCGACCGGCATAAGTGCGGACCGCTCTGGAACTACCGTTAGGTATTACTTCAGGGCAGTCCACGCCGTCTCTAAAATTCACACCACCACGTTGTGAATCAGCCCGAAATTAATCAAGTGGAATCCGTTGTCCGGGTTGCACCACGTGGAGATGAGGGCAGGACTTTGCGAAGGGGGCAAATAATTCAAAAATTCATAAACACGAATACCTAAGGCGCCGGCCTAAACCAGCGCCTCAGGTCCTCCTGTGCCGGACGGCGTGGCTGCCTCTGTCTCAGGCGTTCCGCTTCATCCTTCTTTAACAATACGTATTCGGCGAACGCCTGGACAAGCCTCCACGTCTCTCGGCTCCTCAACATCAGGTCCACCATGGACCCGACTCGGAACGTGGACTGTAGTCGGGACTCCAAAGAGTCCTGCTCCTGGGCCCACGCCTTTCACCTGAAGAGGGTGTACAGAGCGCTATAAGCCTCTCCTGGGTGATCCGAACAGTGGTCGCACGTCGGCGCGGCTGCTTTACGAATACGGTGTAAGTACTCGTTAAATCAGCCGTGGCCGGATATCACTTGGGTGAGACGATAAGTCATCTCACCGTGAGTCCGGTCCACTCACCTGTCCAGCCGATCGGGTCCTATGAGGGACCTGGTCTACTCTCCTCTCGTCGTTTCCTCCGAGAGGTGAGTCCGCAACCGGAGCATGGTCATCCGCCTGAGCGCCAGCCGGTCCTCGGTTTCGAGGGACTGGCCGCGTTCTCGGCGAAGCTCATGCCCGGCGGCGCGATCCTAGGCGAGCAAGTCGGCGGGCGGCAGTGACGACAGGATACCCGCCGCCACTCCGGACACCGTTCGGTACGCCGAAACTGTCCGGATCACCGCCCGCCTCTGCACCCTGAGCAGGGCTTTACGGTTTTTGGACGAATACTCAACATTATCCGCCCAAAAAACGCTAGATATCCGCTGTCACACGATATAATATAATCAACAGTGTTTGTGACAACTGATCTACTAGGTATTTGCTAAAGGCGTTCTCTAACAAACACTTAGTGTTTAATTTTAAGAAATTATACCAAAACAAATTCTTATTTCCTTCATTATTCCTGATTAGTTTTTGATTTAGAAATATAATATATGAATTATTGCAATTGAGTATAGTATAGATTGATATATAATATTGTAAATTTTACGAAGAATTTATAAAAAAAATTGTCAAGTAGTTATTTTTTTTATGGCTATCTTGTATAAAAAAAATGAAGGGTTTAATATAAAACTTTTCAAACAATAATTTATTGTTCATGAATAGATGGTCTATAAAGAATATTCATCAGAGTCAAAAATATACTTTAATTTATCAATTTTTCGCGCTGATTTCGAATCTGCAATTAGTTTTTTTCTATCACCACCAATTTTTGATATTATTACTAATTAGTTAAAAACTGTAAGATATCACTATACAGAATATATTTCTCAATATTTTAATTATTTATAAAGTTAATTTTTTGTGGAAATGTTTACATTTTGAAACCCCCACTGTAGGCAGGAAAAGGGTCACATTTTTATAAAAAAAATATACTTAATGGTATCTATATAAAAAAAATATTGATTTGTTCATTTTTAAAGAAGTTATGGCAGTTTTAAGAAAAACAAGTTTAAAAATAGTCGAAAATAACTGATTTTTAAAATTGTATTTTATGGGGATTTATAGGAAACGAGGGAATTTTTTTCAATTTTTGAAGGTAATGTTTTCGACTAGATATAATTTGTAATCTTTTGATATATTGTTAATCAAAATTGGTCTGGTTAGAGCTGAGAATGAGTCGTATCAGACAAAAAAAAAACCCAGCACAGGGGGGTCGCGGCACAGTTGTGACGTGGTATAGTTGGATCAAGTATAATGATATCTGACAGTGATTAAAATCACTATCAAAAATAAACGCTTCGATGCAAATCTTTAGATAGTGCTTAATTTAAAAAAATTGGTGTTTTATTCCAAAAGCTACTTGATCTGCTGGTTCCTTATTAATATCTCGATAAAGATAAAGTATGTCAAATGAAAAAGGGTTTATTAAAAAATATTATTTCTCATAAAAAAATTGTGTGGATCCATAAACTTTTCAATAAGTTATAGCATTATAAAGTTAAATAT